TAATTATTATTTTTTTGTTCTGTGTGTTCTTTTCTTGTTTTAATATTTTTTAATCATTTGTAAACCATTCAGGGTTGTTGGGAGTCAGGTGGTATAATAAACATTTTAAACAATGATTTTTAATTATACATTCTTGTTTAGCGAGCCATTGAGAGTCCAGCAATTGAAAACTATAAGTCTGAATAATACATTGATTAATGTTTTGTGGACTCTGGCAGAAAAGCCAAAATGTTCCAGGCCCAAACAAATCCTGTAGGGGAGGGGTGATAACCTATTTCAGTGGTGGCGAACCTATGGCACGGGTGCCAAAGGCGGCACTCAGAGCCTTCTCTGTGGGCACACGTGCCGTCCCCCCAGTCCTAGGCCTTCAGCTGGGTTTTATAAAACCTTTTCGCTTTAGGCCTCCGCCGCCATGTGCAAAAAAAAAAAAGGTTCAATAAATCAATCAATTTGGAAAGAGGGTGGATGCAGGGGGGGGGACTGCCGATCACCTCCGAAAATATGTTTAATAGCGGGTTTTTTTCTTTTTTTTATGTGCACCATATTTGTATTAAGAACTTGTTTATTTGAAAATTAATAAAATTTGTTAAACCGAATAAATCAATCAATTTCAACTTCTTGGAGGAAAAAAAAAAGATCTTGCAAAATTGGAATTGATTGATTGAACTTTTTAGTCCCACCCAGTCTGCCGTTACCACGGCAGCCATGCCCACCCAATGGGCCACACCCACCCAGCATTCCACGATGCATAAGTGGGTTTTGGGTTGCAGTTTGGGCACTCGGTCTCTAAAAGGTTCGCCATCACTGACCTATATAATGTTAACTGTTGCTGGTTCTGACGATAAGTAGCAAGTAGAGAAACCCCAGAATTGACTGTTAGAATTGGACAGAAACTGGTTGGGCTATTAGACTGGTAATTATAAATATTATAAATATCAGCACTTCCCAATGCTACTGTAATTTGCACACACTCATATTATGGGATAAATAAGACCTCGTTCGAATGTATCAAGTTTTCCTTCTTTGTTTGAACTGTGTAACAAAAAGGCTGATTGCGACACCTGGACGCGTTCTCCTTTACAAGTTGGGTTGGATTTTTCTCTTATCCTGCATGTTATCTGAAACCCCTCTTGACCGATTATATCTACTTTAGATCAGTTTTCCCACTGAAACAGGTGGAGTAGAGGGAAGGGGCGAGAGCAAAATCTGGCGAAAGGAAGGAAGGAAGGAAGGAAGGAAGAAGGAAGGAAGGAAAGAAAGAGAAAGAAAGGAAGGAAGGAAGGAAGGAAAAAAGAGAAGGAGGGAGGGAGGGAAAAGAAAGAAAAAGAAAATAGAAAGATAGAAGAGAAAGAAAGAGGGAGGGAGGAAGGAAGGAAGGAAGGAAAGAAAGGGGGAGAGAGAGGAAGGAAGATAAAAAGAAGAGGAAGGAGGGAAAGAAAGAAAGAAGGAAGGAAGGAAGGAAGGAAGGAAGGAAGGAAGGAAGGAAGGAAGGAAGGAAGGAAGGAAGGATAAATTGCCCTGAATAATAACGGGAGAACAGAGTGATCTCCCGGAAAAAAAGAAAGAGAGAGAGAGAGAGAGAGAGAGGGAAGAGGGAAGGAAGGAAGGAAGGAAGGAAGGAAGGAAGGAAGGAAGGAAGGCTAAATTGCCCTGAATAATAAAGGGAGAACAGAGCGATCTCTCATTCATAGAAAGTGCGGGAAAGGAATAGAATTGAATAGGAGAGGGCGGGGCTAGAGCTGGCGGTCCGAAGGGAAGGGCCAGAACAAAATCTGGCGGGAAAAGACTGGCTGGAGCCAAAACTGCCGCGCAAATCAGGCCCGCGCGGGCTGCGTGGATGCTGCTCCGCTCTGCGCCCGTCTGGCTCCTGGGGGCGGCTCTCGGGCTGCTCCTGCTGCGGGGCTTCTCCTGCGGTGAGTAGCGCAGGGAGTGGGGAGAGGACGGAACGCGGGGCCGCAGCCTCCTCGCCTACCTTTCCCGGTCCTTCTCCCGCCAGGCACCCATTTCTGATACTGCGCCCGATGCTTAGAACAGGGGTCTTCAAACTTGGCAACTTTAAGACTTGTGGACTTCAAATCCCAGAATTCCTCTGCCAGCCAGGGCTGGCAGAGGAATTCTGGGAGTTGAAGTCCACAAGTCTTAAAGTTGCCAAGTTTGAAGACCCCTGGCTTAGAGGGACTGTGCGGACTGGGGCTGGGGGGCTTCTGGGTGGGAGAAAGAGCACCTTGGAGCACCGACATTGGTCCTCTTTCCATGTCATTCCGCCTTCTCCATTAAGCGCTCCCTTTCCCAGCCCTCTATCCAGGACCCCTCCCTTCCAGGAGCTTCGACTATCCCAGGTCCTCCCTCCCTCCGTCTTGACGTTCATTGTTTGCACGGGTAGAATCTTGGACCGAGTGAGTTCTCTAGGTCCCCCCCCCCATTTCGGCCGTCCTCTCGTTCCCCAGCTTTGATCTTTGCGGAGTTGTTTCTCTTCTTTTGCCAAAGTTGGACCTCCCGGAAGAGGGGCGCCTTTGGAAGCCCAAGCGGATGGGCGAGTCACGTCTGAACCTCCTCGCGCGACCGTGAAGGCATGGGGGAGGGGGAAGGTCAGCAAGACTAGCTCAAGAG